GAAGGGCACAGTGAAACCAGTCACTTTACTCATTCTTCTTTTGACTCCCCTTTCACCGTGCCTCTCACGTACAAGGTTCGCCACATTGATGAAGTTGAGCGCGAGGTGCCCCCATCCCCGTGTGCCATAACAGCCCAGTTGTACGCTGTGAGAAAGAGGCAGAGTGAAGGGGGAGGGGATAAACACAGGGAGGAGAGATGGAGAGCAGACAAACAAAGAACGATAAAGGGAAAGTAAGGGAAAGTATGGAGTGTGGAGTGAAGATGAAGGCAAAAGAGTATATATATTGTCACAGAACTATTGACTAAGAGCATGGTCAAACAGAGCTGCCCGGTAAACCGTAGGCAGAGAGGGAGAAGAGGACAACAAACGAGGGGCTGTGGCAAACTGTTTCGTCGGAGTTTCACCCACTCATCAGGAGGCTGAACCCTCAACAGTCTGCAGAATCCCCTAACTGATTACACTGTAAGTGATAATCCACCTTAACCCCGGCTGTGGTTAAGCATCAACGGCTGCCCGACAACTGATACCTTCAGGTGGGCACCAACCACTGCCCTATATATCGTCAAATAGAACTGCCCAGTAAACCGTAGGCAGAGAGGGAGAAGAGGACAACAAACGAGGGGCTGTGACAAACTGTTTCGTCGGAGTTTCACCGACTCATCAGGAGGCTGAACCCCATATATATATATATTTGACGATATATATATATATATATAGGCAAGGAAAATGAGCGATAGCGAACATCAGAAATCAAACAGCATCATACACATGAGACCAGATAGTCGTGACCTCGAACCAATAGCAGAATTGCATCACGAGTTCCACCAAAAAAAAACACAGCAAAAGCTCATAATTGGCAATGCTGGAATAGTCTCATCATCATCAACAAAGAACCAATGTCTAAATCCTATCTGGCGCTCGGCGCCCAGACTACAGATGGCAGATCCTATCTAGCCTGATCTACAATGCCGCCGATGACGTCAACAGCTCCCCAAAGTACGAGCAGATCTGCCAATGTCGTACGTTTCAAGCACCAAGTATGTCTCTCGTATCGCTCATAACCTCGTTCCCCAACTCACAGATGCCACATGCACCCAAGGACCACCATGCGCCCCATCCAGCATACAGCAGCGCAGCTTGGCTATGGCTGCCTGCTCCTTCCAGCTCGCCCGTGAGCGCGTGAGCGCTGGCCAGTGTTAGCGCAGCAGCGCTTGCGCAGCATGCAGCCAGTGCCTGAATGCAAATGCGTAGGCAGGCCCTTCCCTATATCGAAGTGGCCTGCTGCTGCGTGCTGTAGTGTGGTACTGGGCCCCGGCCCAAAAGCTTCGGGTAGTCCAAAATAGGCCTCGGTCGGGCCTGCCTTCACTTAGGGCGGCCGACCTTGCTCATAACAGGGCCCAGTGGGCTTTCAAACGCCTTCTGTATATATATATTGTCACAAGAATATCAGAGCGCAAATGCGAAAAAAAGAGAAAAAAGGAGAAAAGAAAACCAGGGAATATTAATTTCAATTTTTTATCTTCTTCCTTATAACKCCCCCTGTTCAGAACCTCTTGCGTACAAGGCCGCCCACGTGGATGTAGGTTGAGCGGCGGCTGCCCCCACCCCCGTGTGTCATATCGGCCCACTTGCACACAGCCAGAAGGCAAAGAGGCAAAGAAAAGAGGAAGGGAACAGCCAAATAATACAGAACAGGGGGCAACAAAACAAATCCCAGATGACACGTCCCACATGCAAGCACCGCCCCGCAACTCACAGGCCAAACGACGRGACGAGACCAACCAGGATATCAAAACATTCTTATCTACAAAGAAAATAAAGAAAGGCTCCTGCGCGCTTGATCACAGTGTGACAACTTAAAAAAGAAGACAATCCCAGATGACGATTCCCACATACAAGCACCGCCCCGCGCTCAAAAGGCCGAACAACGGGAAACAACCAACCAGGATGCCCAATAACAAAATCGAAGCAAACAAAATTAAAACAAATCCTAAATGACAATCCTAGATGACAAGTCCCACATGCAAGCACCGCCCCCGCC